TTTGCCATTACTGAGACGTGGTTTAATTCAAAAAGTCGGGACATGCCTGCAGAATGTCACATTCAGGTTTTAAATTGTTCCAAGTAGATAGAAGTATCGGGAAGGGGGGTGGGGTGGCATTGTATGTCCGAGATCGCTTGAACTGTTGCATAAAAACGGGTATTAAGTCTGAAGTAACACATACAGAGTCTGTTTGGATAGAATTTTCAGAGGGGCATGAAAAATTAATTTTAGGTGTGATATACCGTCCCCCAAATTTAGATAGGACCAGGGGAGACTACTATGGGAGGAAATTGTTAGGGCCACAAGGCACGATAATGTAGTAATTCTAGGAGACTTTAACTTTAGTCATATTGATTGGAATTTCTTGACTGGGAATTTAGAATCATACGATTTCTTAGAAGTAGTTCAGATTGTTTTTTGAAGCAGTTTGTGACAGAACCTACAAGGGGTAATAACCTGCTTGACTTAGTTCTGGCAAACAATGAATCCCTTGTTAATAATTTAGAAGTTTCAGAGGAACTGGGTGCTAGCGACACAAATCAATTACATGTAGAATTGAATGGAAGTATGATAGCAGGATAACTCAGTAACGTCCCAGATTTTCGCTTAGCAGATACGATGGGCTTAGAGAACACTTATCATCTGTTGACTGGGGTAACGAAGAGAGCTATCAATATGACAGTTTTCTGAACACAATACATGCTGCTCAAAGAACGTTTATCCCTTATAAGGAAATTAGATCAAATAGAAAATGACCAAATGGATGAATAATAGGCTGAAATATCTACTAGGGCATAAGAAAGGAATTTATAGGCGTATCAAAAGAGGCGAGGGTCATCTTATGAATCAGTATATTGACATTAAGAGGGACATTAAAAAGGGGATAAGAAAAGCTAAAAGGGACTATGAAATTAAAGTGCTAGGGATTCTAAAACTAACCAAAAAGTTTTTTCCAGGTATTATAGAACAAAAGTCAGAGATAAGATAGGTCCCTTAAAAATAACTATGGGCATCTTACTGACAAAGAGAATGAAATGTGCTCGATTTTAAATAATTATTTTCTCTCGGTTTTTACACAGGAAGACACTAATAATATTCCGGTAATTAATTTTTATAGTGGATCAGAAGAAGATAAATTATGTAACATCACAGTCACTAGTGAAATGGTTGTGAAGCAGATAGACAGACTGAAGCAAAATAAGTCACGGGTCCTGATGAGGTTTTTTCAAGGGTTCTAAAGGAATGCAAAATGGAAGTCTGTGAAACCATTAACTAATATTTTTAATTTAATCTCTTCAAACAGGTGCAGTGTCTGATATGTGGAAGATGGCTAATGTAATTCCTATTTTTAAAAAAAAGGGGACAAGTCGTTACCGTCAAATTACCGCCAATAAGCCTGACCTCATTGTAGGCAAATTACTAGAGTCAATTATAGCTGAGATTATAAGAAGCCATCTCGATAAGCATAGCTTGATTAATGATACTCAGCATGGATTCACAAGAGGCCGGTCTTGTCTAACTAATTTATTAACTTTCTTCAGTAAAGCTTTTGAGGCTGTTGACCACGATAAAGAATTTGATATTATTTACTTAGATTTTAGTAAGGCATTTGATAGAGTTCCGCACCAAAGACTGTTGAAGAAAGTAGCAGCTCATGGCATTGGGGGAAGGGTGCTCTCGTGGATCGAATCATGGCTCACAGACAGGAAGCAAAGAGATGTCCATAAATGGGGTTAAATCCGAGTGGGATCAGTAACAAGTGGCGTTCCACAGGGATCAGTCTTGGGCCCGTTGTTGTTTATAATATATATCAATGATCTTGATGAAGGAATTACTAGTGATATGAGCAAATTCGCCGATGACACGAAGATAGGTAGGATAATTGATTCAAACGTAGATGTTAGGGAACTTCAGGAGGATTTAGACAAACTCTACTCTTGGTCAGAAAAGTGGCAGATGCAGTTCAATGTAGATAAATGCAAGGTTCTGAAGCTCGGGAGTGTCCATAACCCAACACTTATAAGTTAAATAATGTAGAACTTAACCATACAGATTGCGAAAAGGACTTGGGGGTTATGGTAAGCAGCAACCTTAAACCAAGACAGCAATGCCTAAGCGTACGTAATAAGGCAAATAGATTACTGGGATTTATATCAAGAAGTGTAAGCAACAGAAGTCCAGAGGTCATACTGCAGCTTTATACATCATTAGTAAGGCCTCACCTAGATTATGCAGTTCAATTCTGGTCTCCATATTACAGAATGGACATAAATTCGTTAGAAAACATTCAGCGTAGGATGACTAAATTAATACATAGCATTAGAAATCTTCCTTATGAAGAAAGATTGAAGACTCTTAAGTTTACATTCACTTGTTAGACGAAGAATGAGGGGAGACCTGATTGAAGTGTATAAGTGGAAGATAGGTATTAATAAAGGGGTATTAACAAGGTCTTGAGAATATCTCTCCAAGAGAGAACCGCAGTAATGGATTTAAATTAGATAAGTTTAGATTTAGAAAGGACATAGGAAAGTATTGGTTTGGAAATAGGGTAGTAGAGAGGAACAGTCTACCTAGTTGGGTTATTGAGGCTAGGACTTTGGGGTAGTTTCAAATTTAGGTTGGATAAATTTCATGAGTGGGATGGGTTGGATTTGAGTGGGACTTGCACATCAGAGCTTATTTTTGGGTAGCATTGAAAATTGGGTAGGTCAAATGTTTGTTAGTGGGATGAATTGTAAAGGACCTGCCTAGTATGGGCCAACAGGCTGCTGCAGTGTTCCTCCCTTTCTTATGTTCTTAGTTTTAAGTGGTTAGTACACACTTGGGGTACGTGGTAGTAACACTTGGGTAAGTGGTAGTACACACTTGGGTAAGTGGTAGTACACACTTGGGTAAGTGGTAGTACACACTTGGGTAAGTGGTAGTACACACTTGGGTAGTGGTGGTACACATTGGGTAAGAAATGGTAGTGCACACTTCGGGTAAGTGGTAGTACACACTTGGTACGTGGTAGTACACACTTGGGTAAGTGGAGGTCACAATTGGGTAGTGGTGGTACACACTTGGGTAAGGGTGGTACACACTTGGGTAAGTGGTAGTACACACTTGGTAAGTGGTGGTACACACATGGGTAAGTGGTCGTACACCTTGGGTAAGTGGTGGTACACACTTGGGTCTGTGGTGGGTAACACACTTGGGTAAGTGCTGGTACACACTTGGGTAAGTGGTGGATACACACTTGGGTAAGTTTTGGTACACACTTGGGTAAGTGGTAGTAACACTTGGGTATGGGTGGTACACCTTGAGTACGTGGTGGTACACACTTGGGTAAGTGGTGGTACAAACTTGGGTAAGTGGTGGTCCGCACTTGGGTAAGTGGTGTTACACACTTGGGTATGTGGTGGTACCACTTGGTAAGTGGTGGTACGCACTTGGGTAAGTGGTAGAACACACTTGGGTAAGTGGTGTACACACTTGGGGTAAGTGGTCTGTACACACTGGGTAACGTGGTGGTACACACTTGGGTAAGTGGTGGTGCCCACTTGGGTCCGTGGTAGTACACACTGGTAAGTGGTGGTACGCACTTGGGTAAGTGGAGGTCACACACTTGGGTAAGTGGAGGTACACACTTGGGTGGAGTGGTGGTACACCATTGGGTAAGTGGTGGTCCCCACAGGTGTCCGTGTAGTAAACTCCCCATTGTGTGAACCCGGCCCCCCCCCCCCCCCCCCCCCAAAGTTCACTTGGGTAATGTGGTGGTACCACATTGGGTAAGTGGTGGTACACACTGGGTAAGTGGTGGTACACACTTGGGGTAAGTTGGTGGTCACACTTGGGTACGTGGTAGTGCACACTTGGGTAAGTGGTTAACACACCCTTGGGTAGTGGTAGTACACACTTGGGAAGTGGTAGTACACTAACGTGGGTACAGTGGTGGGTACACAATTGGGTAAGTGGTAGTACACCACTTGGGTAAGTGGTGGTACGCACTTGGCGTAAGTGGTGGTAGCACTTGGGGAAGTGGTAGGACCACCACTTGGGTTAAGTGGTAGTACACACTTGGAGTAAGTGGGTGTTCCACTCTCGGGTAAGTGGTAGTACACACTTGGGTAAGTGGTTAGTTACACACTGGGGTAAGTGGTAGTTACACACTTGGGTAAGTCGGTAGTACTACACTTGGGTAAGTGGTGGTTACACACTTGGGTAATTGTTGGTAACACTTGGGTTAGTGGTGGTACACATTGGTAAGTGGTGGTACACACTTGGGTAAGTGGTAGTACACACTTGGGTAAGTGGTGGTACACACTTGGGTAAGTGGTGGTACACACTTGGGTAAGTGGTGGTACACACTTGGGTAAGTGGTGGTACACACTTGGGTAAGTGGTGGTACACACTTGGGTAAGTGGTGGTACACAGCAGGGGAAGCTGGTTAGCAGGAATTGGGAAATACAGTATCTGTTCTCTGAAGGGGAATGTAGGTGATGCTACAGATTGAGATATCATTCCATTAGTGTCGTTTGTTCACTTTCTAGCAAGACAGTTATTGGAAATATAACCACAAATGCAGTATAATGTGATCCTTTATTGACTACGTTTCGCCCACACAGTGGGCTTTTTCAAGTCACAAACAGTACTACCTGGGGTGGAAGGAACGCGAGTATTTATAGTCGCGTTCCTTCCACCCCAGGTAGTTCTGTTTGTGACTTGAAAAAGCCCACTGTGTGGGCGAAACGTAGTCAATAAAGGATCACATTATACTGCATTTGTGTTTATATTTCCATTGTGTCGGTATTTTATACCATTTATTTCCAAGACAGTTATTAACTGAATGATGGTGAATGACCTTTTTTCCATCCTAGATTGGTGAGAGACGGCCCATGTCTTTAAAGAAGTGGGTATCATTTTTTTACAGTTGTTATGAATAGCAAGCAGTTAATGCTTTGTAAATGTAAATTCAACCAGTGATTTCTAGAGTCATATACTCGATGTTGCAGGTCTGCGGGATATAGCAGGCCGCATGCGGGCGCTGGAGGAGTCAAGGTCGCAGGCGGCAGCCAGGGCTGAAGAGGTGAGCTATGCAATATGGTGTATTCAGTTATTTTATCAATAAACAAGTATTTTGAGCTAATTTATTCAACTAAAGTTTAGTTGTTGCAATATTGTCAGTGATCAGTTTTTTAAAGGATCACAGGATATATACAAGGAGCTGTCAAAAAGCTCCAGGTCTCGACTTTTCGTGAAGTTCCCGGAAGCATAGGCGTCGACGTAGGTCACGCTTGCGCCAGTATGCTTCTTCATGACGTAGCCTGGCGAGTTTCATTGCGGTCGGTCATTCTGGTGTAGTTAGATAGGCAGTTTTTAAGTGTGTGTCAGTGATTTGTTCCGATTTTTGTGCAACATAAATGAACCTTCCAATAGAAAGAACAGTGTGTGTGTGTGTGTGTGTGTGTGGAGTGTGTGTGTGTGTGTGTGTGTGTGTGTGTGTGTGTGTGTGTGTGTGTGTGTGTGAGTGTGTGTGTGTATGGTGTGTGTGTGTGTGATGTGAGTGTTGTGTGTGTGAAATTTCAGCTTTCAGCTGAGTAAAACACCTAGTGAAACTCACAAAATTCTTCAGCAAACATTGGGCGACGAAGCAGTGGGTTAGACAGAGTATGTTGCATGGTTTTCTCGATTCAAAACAGGATGAAGGTCAGTTGAGGATGATGAACACTCCGGTCATCCAATGTCAAATGCACAAATAACTCAGTCACGGTATTGTGCCTTTTTTTGTTCTTTAACAACGTCAAAAATAGATGTCAACATTGAAAAAGTGAGATAGGATCTTCATGAAGATCATCATCAGAGTATCCAGAATATTGCAAGTGCTATGGGAATTTATGGGTTATGTCAAAGCACTTTGACTTAAAATTTGAACATGAGGCGAGTGACTGTGAAGTTTATGCCCCGATAGCTGACCCAAGATCAGAAAGACCATCGTTTTCTGGTTAATAGCATAGCTATTAACCCCACCCTCCCTACTCCCAAGATCTAGCCTCCCATGACTTCATTCTCTTCCCCCAAAAAATGGAAAAGAGCACTTAGGGAGCAGCGTTTTAACGATGTGGAGATACCTAAGACGCTAGATGGCGTTAAGAAAGAAGAATTCCAGAAATGTTTCCAGAAGTAGCAGAAGCGCTAGGATCAGTTTATAGCCTCGCAAGCAGCGAGTTTTCTATGTGTCAGCCAGTGTAGATAGCTGCTGAAATATCCACGTGCTAGTGAAATTAAGTGTGAGCATCATACTTAAAGTTTTAGCGTCAAGTGTGTATATGGGTAGGTAAGTGTGTAGGAGGCTAGGTAAGTGGTTAACACCGTCGCAATGATAAATTAGTAAATTAAGTGTATGTGCAGCATCTGGATATCTTTATTCTGAAGGCGTTTCGCCATCTTTTGGCTTTATCAGCACAATACAGATGACTGGAGAGGTAGAAGATGAGGTAATCAGTCCCTCAGCCTAGCAGCAGGTGCTTAGTACTGTAGATGTCTTCAAGACTAAGGGGCACTCATCTTTTCTCTCTCCAGTCTTCTGTGTTGTATTGATAAAGCTACTGATTGGCGAGACGTCGACATAATAAAGATACCCAGATGTTGCGCAAGTGTTTAATTCATTATCTTGGCGAAACGTCTATATAATAAAGATACCCAGATGTTGCGCAAGTGTTTAATTCATTATCTTGGCGAAACGTCTATATAATGAAGATACCCAGATGTTGCGCAAGTGTTTAATTCATTATCTTGGCGAAAAGATCTATATAATGAAGTCCCAGTTGTGCGCAAGTGTTTAATCATTATCTTGGCGAACCGTTATATAATAAAGATACCCAGATGTTACACATGTGTTTAATTCATTATATTATCTTACCACTGATGCACACTGTCACGTACAGCTGCGGGGGCGCCTGTCGGAACTGTCAGCAGACTTACAGAGGTTCGTAGCTCGCTGTTCCCTGGAGGACCTGGACCTGTGCAACACCCTTGACTACCGGGGTCTCGAACTAGGAGCTCGATTCCACAGTGTGAGTTACTGATACTAAGCTTTTCTCATCCAAATCAAATTTGTGTTCATGGTATTTTATACAGTATCAGCTTATGTGATGAATGGTTTTGAAAACCGACAAGTTGAAGAATTGAGACACTTATGAAACACATGGGAATCTTTATTGAAGAAACGTTTCGCCACACAGTGGCTTCATCAGCCCAATACAAAGTAGAAATGGGTAAGGAGAGTAGAAGGTTTGAGGTAATCAGTCCCTCAACCTGGAATCAATGTGTTCAGTCCATCAGTCTTGTAGGAAGTGATGGACTGAACACATCGATTCCAGGTTGAGGGACTTGAATTACTCAAACTTTTACTCTTCTTACCCATTTCTACTTTGTATTGGACTGATAAAGCCACTGTGTGGCGAAACGTTTCTTCAATAAAGATTCCCATGTGTTGCATAAGTGTCTCAATTTAGTTATCAGTTAGTTTCATAATATTTTAACCTAAAAGAACGAGTCTTTACATCTTAGCTGAGAGTTTTAAGGGAAACTAAAAGAAATTTATCGCCTATTGCTTGATTATATAGATCAGAACAGCGGTAAAACTTATTCTCTCTTTGTGCGTTTCAGTTCTCGTTCTCTGAGCAGCTTCGTCTGCTGGCTATTGTTGAGAACCACAACCTGACAGACACAGCCAGACGGGCCAGATATGAGTATGAGAATATTCCCAACTATGTGAAGGTCATGACGCGCCCTACTAGGGAAGGTAGGTCCCCTTGCACTCACTATTATACCAGGGAAGGTAGGTCCCCTTGCACTCACTGTTATACCAGGGAAGGTAGGTCCCCTTACGCTCACTGTTATACCAGGGAAGGTAGGTCCCCTTGCACTCACGGTTATACCAGGGAAGGTAGGTCCCCTTGCACTCACTGTTATACCAGGGAAGGTAGGTCTCCTTACGCTCTCTGTTATACTAGGGAAGGTAGGTCTCCTTACACTCACTGTTATACCAGGGAAGGTAGGTCCCCTTGCACTCACTGTTATACCAGGGAAGGTAGGTCTCCTTACGCTCTCTGTTATACTAGGGAGGTATTGGTCTCCTTACACTCACTGTTATTTTTTTAACCCGGGGAAGGTAGGTCCCCTTGCACTCACTGTTATACCAGGGAAGGTAGGTCCCCTTACGCTCACTGTTATACCAGGGAAGGTAGGTCCCCTTGCACTCACTGTTATACAGGGAAGGTAGGTCCCCTTGCACGCATGTTATACAGGGAAGGTAGGTCTCTTACTGGCTCACTGTTAATACCAGGGAAGGTAGGACCCCTTTGACTCACTGTTATACCAGGGGGACGGTAGGTCCCCTTGCATCACTGTTATACCAGGGAGGTTGGTCCCTTGCAATACTGTTTATACCAGGGAAGGTAGGATCCCCTAGCACTACGGTTATCAAGGGAAGGAGTCTCCATACGTCACTGTTATACAGGGAAGGTAGGTCCCTTGCACTCATGTTATTACCAGGACGGTAGGTCTCTTTGCACTCACTGTTTATCCAGGGAAGGTAGGTCCCATACGCTCACTTGTTATACCGGGATGGTAAGTCCCCTTGCATAAATGTTTTACTAGGGAAGGATAGGTCCCCTTACACTCACTGTTATACTAGGGAAGGTAGGTCCCTTGCACTTACTGTTATACCAGGGAAGGTAGGTCCCTTGCACTTACTGTTATACCAGGGAAGGTAGGTCCCCTTACACTCACTGTTATTCCAGGGAAAGTGGTCCCCTTACACTCATGTTATACCAGGGAAGGTAGGTCCCCTTACACTCACTGTTATTCCAGGGAAGGTAGTCCCTCTACACTGTTGTACCAGGGGAGGCAGGTCCCCTTGACTCATTGTTATACCAGGGAAGGTAGATCCCCTTACACTCACTGTTGTACCAGGGAAGGTAGGTCCCCTTGCACTCACTGTTATTCCAGGGAAGGGAGGGGTCCCTTGCACTCATGTTATACAGGGAAAGTGGTCCCCTTACAGTCATGTTATACAAGAAGGTAAGTCCCTTCACTCGCAGTTATACCAGGGAAGGACGGTCCTCTACACTGTTACACCAGGGAAGTAGGTCCCCTTATACAGGGAAGGCAGGTCCCTAATACCAGGACGCAGGCCCCTTATACCGGGAAGGGCAGTTCCTCTACACTGTTGTACCAGGAGAAGAAGGTTCCCTTTGCACTCATATTATTACCAGGGAAGGTAGGTCCCCTACTCTCACTGTTATTACCAGGAATGTCTCCTATTCGGGGACGCCACATAATTCGGTACACTCTCTTCCCCCGGATAAGTCTATAATTAGGGAAGACTCTATTTGGCGTCTCCTAATTCGGGACGTCTTATAATTCGGACGGTGAAATAGCTATTCAAACAAGCTCATGATTTCTTATACACATTGCATTAAACATTTGTGTATTTTGTAATTTATCCTATGTAATGCTTATTCTATTATCTCTAGCAAGCTGAGGGAATAAATAGGTTTTAAAGCTTTCTATTGATGCAAGTATGTCATTTAAAGCTTACTGCATCCTAAGTCACTTGTTCTTAAACTCAAATTTGATGTATCGTTTCTTAACGCGAATCATTATGGATGGTGTGTGGCAGAGGTGAAGCGGGTAGTGCGGGGCTACCGTGCGTCACTCTATTCTAAAGTACGTAACCTGGACCACATGGCCTTCGACCTGGAGGTACGCACTAAGGAGCTCAGCTGGAGGGTGGAAGAGGCCACCTCTGACCTCAACCTTCACGAGAACTACAGGTGGTACACTGTGCTAGGTAAGTCTGACACTGTCAGCAGGATTTTCCACTGGTATAAAAATTGTGAATAATGTGAGAAAATTACCTGCATGAGGTTTACAGGATATTGCCTGAATTATTACGTGCAAAATATTTGGGTGAGATAAGTAGGACTTAGTCACAGTAGGTCGCAGGACTGTGACTCCCTTGACGCCCACTTCATCACCACAGTCACAAAAAGATAGACCTAATATTAAATTAATAATTACAGTATTAAATATTAATATCAATAATGGTAAATTATAAAATAGTGTGGATTGTGTGATTAGGCTTACTGGGTACACAGAATATAATTATTGTACATAAATTATAATGGTGTTATTATAAAAGAAGTTCGTATTACCACTTACCATTTAATTAGTGTAGATGGATCACACCACAACACCTGCCTGACACATAGGCCCGTCACTGGCAGTTAGATATCTAATGCAAAGACTAATGGCCGCACTTCCCTGTGTGAGAGGATGGTTTGTATCCTTATTTCCGTCTCTACACGTAATTGTTGAGGTCCCGCAAAAATTTCCGTCCCAAATTCTCCAGCAGGGGACATTTTTAAGACCGGTTCCTCATTCCAAATTCAGGCCAAAAACCCAATTTGCTCAGAAGATGCCGGATGATTAGCAGAATAGACTTTTCCACACAGTCATTGTTCACCAAATTACGACATTCCATGCTGGTCCACATCCTTGTTCACTTAAAATCTCGAAGGATCCAACTGCATCACATTTTTAATATGCAGTATTTATCATTATTCATTTATTAGTTTACATTAGGTAAATTATGTAAAAAATATTCCACACAGGTGTTGTTGTGGCTTGTGTTAGTGTGGGGTGTTGATGACTGTGGGGGTGTTGCTGTGGGTGCTGTGCTACACAGCGGTGTCACGTTCCACTCCACCCCCCCCCCCCCCCCCCCCCCCCCCCCCCCTCCATGAGCAAGAGTAAATCCTTATGCATTGTATAAGGGCTCGGCATAGGGTCCTGCGAGCCTCAGTAGGTAACACTGTGCTTGTCCTATACAGGAACTTCAGTCTGGCATTCGCTTTCTTTACTACATTGTTCCCTATCAATTCTCCTGACATGCATGGTGTGTCAATGGGGATTCCCAGATATTTTATTGATGAAACCAAAGTGAATGGGCTCCCCATTTACACTGGACATTAAAATTATTTGCACTTTCAGTTGTTTCGTGCCAAGAGAATGGCTTCAGCTTTCCCGAGGTGTAATGATGTTTGTTGTCTACTAACCATTTGCTGCAGGATCCCAGTTCAGTTTTCTAACACTTTAGCAATATCTTGTGGGGTCTTTACCTGACATAACAGGGCACTGTCATCTGCATACAGTAGGAGTTTGCACTTGACACTGATAGGCATTGTCATTGACATAACATATGAATAATAAGGTGACCCAGAACTCACCAGTTATCTGCAGGGGTTCTGATTCCGTTTTGTTGATTTGATGTTTGTCTCATGTTGCTAAGGTAGGGACTTAAACCAGTCTCCGAAACTATACGATAGCTTGAAGTTCTTAAAAACAAATATATATTGTGGTTGACAGTATCGAAGGCCTTTTGCAGGTCTAAGGTTACCTTACCTATGAGGTTACCTTTGACATTTCAGTTCTCAGGTTAATCATCAGATTAATAAGGGAGGTGGTCGGTAGAGTAGGATCTTCTAAGGCCCGATTGATAAAGTATGGAGAATGCAGTGTCATTAAAGGTACTAAATCTTGAGATACACCGCCCCTTCCAGAAATTTTAAATATTATGCTGGTATACTAACAGGCCTATAGTTTGCTTACATAGACCTATTATTTTTCTTGACGATAGGAGTAACTCTGGCCTCCTTGAACCCTCCGGTACGGTAATAGTGGTGATTGATAGATTTTTTATGTGAGGCCAATAGGGTGATTGACAGTATCAGAAGCACCATCTTTTTACGAACTTAGACGGGATGTTATCAGGGCCTGTGCTCTTAGTTGGGTTTAACCTGCTTAGTTCTTTTTTAATGAAAAGTATGGAGATACACTTATAGTTGACAACCTGTTTGGGGTTACCCCTTTATTGGTATAGTATGTTTGGAACTTTCTAGAGTTCTGTTAAAGGTATTTGATGCAGCTGGTAGTTTACTTACTAGTGTTGATGCAACAAGATGTGTAGTAGGAATTGAAGCAATTTTGCCACCTTAGATGTTATTTCGTGGCATACTCATATCGATAGTGAGTAATATGTTAGACTATCTATGGCTTATGGCTATCCCCAATGTTTTAGTTGTTGTCTGAGCTTTTCTGGGGTTTTATGCTTTTTACTCTTCAATTTTGAGCAATAGAGCTTTGCCCTTGCTCCCTTTTTATAAGGTCTCTGTACTTCTGTTCCTCACCTTTGTAATTCATTTAGTGCTGCAATATCCTCGTCTGTTTGCTTTAAATCTTTAAGCAGCTGGTCTCTGAATTTCATATTATCTAATATTCCAGTAGTCATCAGGGTTTCAGTTTCTTCGTTTAATTCTAACCTCTTTACACTGGTGCAATCTTATCAAGGGATGGTAGTGAACATTGTTTTGAATTTTTCCCCTAGGCATCGTTTACGTACCGTGGAATTTGTTATCTCTGTCCAGTCACAGTTGTGTAGCCTATTTACCCTGTGTTTCTTTACTGTAGTTTCTGTTGACCTCAATTTTATTGTCCTGTGTAGGCCTATCCTGTCCCTTAGTGATTTTCCTGGTGCAGTAAATGATTAAAGATCCACTAAGACCTGATGGTAATGACTCCTGACTGGACTAATGGTTTCAGAGAGGTTTACAAAGTATGTGGTCAATTAGGGTGGTGAGACTGTGTGATCCGGGGCTTGGTGTATTAATTAGTTGAGTGTAGCTATTTAATCCTAGAATTTGCTTATACCGTTAGCATAGCCCGTTATTTTGCTGCTGGATAACAGATATAGAAGTCGCCAGAATTATTGTCTCGCAATTGGGTTCAACTCCGGACAAGACCGAAAAGTCTTCTACGATGGTCCTGTGGGTAGGAGGGCGGTAACTAGTTCCTATAAGATGGGTTATGGTCTTGGGAGCAGCACTTCCAACCATAGAATCTCCAGTTTATTGTTATTTAAATGAGGTCTTGGGTTGTAAGCTAAGATCTTTCTAAATGTAAGGCAATACTCCACCACCCTTTCTGTTCCTATCTAAGCGTTTTATATTGTAACTTCTATTTGCCTCGTCGTCGTCACCGTATCACCAACCAAAGATTTCAGCGATGGTTATATACTGCCGCCTAATTTTGTTAGCTAGGAATCCTAATCTCTGCCATTTGTCTAGAAGACAGTGATCTTGCATTGACATGAATAAAGTGAAGGCCTGTTTTCATTAAAACAATCATAATCATCAATTATATGCATGGGTCATTTGTATTAAAAATTAGGTAAATCAATGTCATCATTGCTAAAGGGTAACAGTTGCCAAAGTGCATTTGTTACACACAAAATGTAATTCTGGCCACCGTTGCTATAAAATGTCCATACATCCATCCATACCGCACCCACCCCTTACACATTTTACATAAGTGCCTTTCTGTTTATTCATGCGTACTTTAGTACAGTGCTTGCACCTGTGTTGGTAGTGTTTGGGATACTAATGGCTGGATAGTCTCACACTTGACTATGTATTGCATTACATATGAGTTAAGGTTATCATCCTAGCTACTAGCCCGTCATTTATCGCCGTCTTTATCTGTCTGTTTTTTGCCTCTGCACAATAGTTTGAGGTCTGGATTAATTTGGTTATCACACTTAAGAGCGTACAATAAGAGCTGTGTGCATGTTTTGTTTGGTTATGCCGTGTTGCCATACCTTTACAGCGATAGTGAGATTTACTTTTTGGGTAGGATGGCAATTGTTGGGCTTTTATGTACAGGGACGTGTGAACTCCATTTACCTTTTCCAGCCCCCTTGACAGATTCATTCTTATGGAATTGAAAGAAGAAAGATAAATAAATTATGGCAGCCTGTACCCCCTATTGCTCGTCATTTTCACTCTTCGACTCATTTACTCAATTTCTATATATTTATTTCTTTTTCCAGTCCTAGTACACTCTAGTATCTGCTTTAGCAATCACCACTGATTTTACTAGTAAAATTTCCTCTTCAAAACCCTCTTCACTGCTCACTTTTTCCCGTAACTTCACCAAACCCCTTACAGTTAACCCTATTACACACTCCCCTTCCCACCTCACTTCACAACTTCTCGCCTTCACAATTAACTTCAAACTCTTTCATTCTGGTAGACCTGAAAGGTTAACTCAATGGTTGTATCCTGCCAAATCACCCTCAATTCCATTTTATCGGGGGTTGTGTTAGGTGGTGTTGTCTCCTCGTCCTGCTGGGAATAAGAACAGTGTCAGTGTAGCGGACATCAAATGAGATGGTGAATGGAGGAAATAAGGAGCATCAACACCAAGTTTAGTAAACCCTTTCTAATTATAGCAACTGATACTGTCCAGTTAGGTTATGTGTAATTGGATAGGATGTGGGTGATCCAGTACATGAAGGCACCACCAGAGGAATATCTGGTAAGTCGGGTGGTATTTGATACCAGGGGTTTTTCCATGATGGTATATATCCATGTGCTAACTACACCCCAACCCACCCCCCTCATTCAGTTAAAACTAATATAATCTTATTACAGTCCACAATTAATTAGTAATAGCGCCGTACTAGTGGGTGCTTATCCATTCATTCTGGTCTCGGTTAGTTATGGGTAAGATTGTGAGGTCAAAGGAGCACCTGCAGTAGTGACCAGGGGTGGGCTGAGTTTTCTCACATGTCTACCACGGGAGTGACTACGGTAAACAGTATGCGTTCGAGTAGTCTACCACTGAGATTACTTGTAAGCATGTAATGTTGAGGTAATTCAGGTAACCTCTACTAAAATTTTCCATAAGAACATTCTGAGGATACTGGGAGACGAAACACTCCGGGTTAAAAATCAGAGCAAATTTATCCTTCTTTTAGATTAGAATAAACAAACGGCTTCTTTGGTGCACCATCTACACCTGTTAGAAAACCAGTACTTACCTATATCCTTTCTAAATCTAAATTTCTCCAACTTAAATCCATTATTTCTGGTTCTTACCTGGTTCGACACCCTCAGTAATTTATTAATATCTCCCTTATTTATGCCCGTCATCCACTTATACGCTTCAATGATATCTCTCCTCATTCTACGCCTCTCCAGAGAGTGGAGATTTAAGGCTTTAAGTCTATCTTCATACGGGAGGTTTCTTACACAGTAAATCATTTTAGTCATTCTTCTCTGTATGTTCTCTAATGAGTCTATATCCATCCTGTAGTAAGGGGACCAAAACTGAGTAGCATAATCTAAATGAGGCCTCACTAGTGATGTATAGAGCTGTAAAATAACTCTTGCACTTCTGTTACTTATACTTCTTGAGATAAATCCAAGTAATCTGTTGGCCTTGTTGCGCACACTAAGGCACTGCTGTCTTGGCTTTAGATTTCTGCTTACCATGACTCTCAAGTCTTTTTCACATTCTGTATGATCAAGCTCTACTTCACCTAGATTGTAGCTTCGAGGGTTATTTTCATTACCAAGGACTAGTACCTTACACTTATCGACATTGAACTTCATCTGCCATTTTTCAGACCTAGACATTAATTTGTCCAAATCCTCATGGAGTTCATTGCTATCCTCCTCAGAGTGAATTATACGGCCTATCTTTGTATCATCAGCAAACTTACTCATGTCACTCGTAATCCCTTCATCAAGGTCATTAATGTAAATTATGAACAAGAGAGGGCCTAAAACTGATCCTTGTGGAATGGCACTAGTGACTAATCCCCATTCAGATTTCACTAAATTAATGGTAACTCTCTTCTTTCTATTGGTAAGCCATGCCTCTATCCATACTAGAACTTTACCTCTTACACCATGAGCTGCCACTTTTCTTAAGAGTCTCTTGTGAGGTACTCTATCGAAGGCTTTGCTAAAATCCAAATAAACAATATCATATTCTTTGTCACTGTCAACTGCCTCAAATGTTCTACTGAAGAACGTCAGTAAATTTGTCAGGCAGGAACGACCTCTCATGAATCCATGCTGAGATACATTTATCAAGTTATGCTCTTCAAGGTGACTTCTAATAATGTCAGCTATAACTGATTCTAATAACTTGCCCGCTATAGATGTCAGGCTTATTGGACGGTAATTTGAAGGAGTGGACTTATCCCCTGATTTGAATATAGGAACCACATTAGCCATCTTCCACAACTCTGTCACAACACCGGTAAGGATGGACGCATTAAACACACTCGTTAATTAATGGCTAACTAAGCTCCATCTTGCATTCCTTAAGTACCATGGAAAACAGCTCATCAGGTCCCGGGGACTTATTTTGCTTCAGTTTGTCTATCTGTTTAATAATCATGTTACTCGTGACAGTAATATTAGTTAATTTAAATTCAGCAGGAACTAAATTGTGAATCACTAGAATCTCATTTACATCTTCCTGTGTAAAAACTGACAAAAAATAGTCATTAAATAAGGAACACATTTCCAGTTCGTTATCCGTCAGCTGTCCATTCCCAATTGTCGGAGGTCCTACTTTTTCCTTCACCTTCGTCCTATACACTTGAAAGAACCCCTTTGGATTAGTCTTTGATTCATTAGCAACTCTAAGTTCATAGTCACGTTTAGCCTTTCTAATCCCCATTTTCACTTCTCTTTTAAGCTGAAAATATTGGTCAGTAAGGTTAACCTCTCCTCATCTGATGCGCCTATAAATTCCCCTTTTCTCCCCTACTGTTAATCCATTTGGGATCGTTATTATTAGACCTAATTTCTCTCTGGGGAATGTATATACTCTGGGCACAGTGTACATTAAGAAAAATATCATAAAAGCAGATCCCTTCATAATCATAAGTATGATCATCGTCAATAAAATCATTAGCTAGATAACCCCAATCAAGATTAGACAGGTGTTCCCTAAGTCCATTATAATCGGCAGAACGGAAATCAGGGATTTTTACTGCATTATCATTATTCTTGCATTCCCAGTTAATGCTAAAAGTGATGGATTTGTGATCAGTGATCTCCAGATTATTTACGAGTGTTTCCTTATTTGACAGGACTAGGTCTAGCAAATTATTACCCCTGGTATGCTTCGTTATGCACTGCTTCAGAAAACAGTCCTGAACTGTTTCCATAAAGTCACTGGACTCTAGATTACCTGTTAAAGAATTCCAGTCAATTTGACTAAAGTTAAAGTCCCCTACTATGACTATGTTATTGTGTCTAGAAGCCCCAACAATTTCGTCCCAAAGAAGTCTCCCTCTATCGTGATCCAAGCCTGGAGGTCGGTATATTACACCTAGAATTAGTTTTTCTTGACCCTCTACAAACTCTACCCAAACAGATTCTGTTACTGTTCCATCTATTTTTATTCCTGTTTTTATGCAGCAATTAATATTTTCTCGAACATGTAATGCAACTTCTCCCCCCTTCCCATTACATCTATCCACATGGAAAAGCTTAAACCCTTTAATATTACACTCAGCAATCATATTCCGACTCTTTAAATCATACCACGTTTCAGTTAATGCAATGATATCAAAATTCCCAGCACATGCTACCAAACGTAGTTCATTAATTTTATTTCTTGCACTTCGACTGTTACCACAAAACACCATCATATGTTTTTTCTTATGCACATTTTTCCTATACATCTTTGTTTTTACACAATTTCTGAAATTATCATTACCTAGGGTTACTCCATGACAGTTACTGTTAAGATTCTTAATATCAGAGCGTAAGTCAATACATCCATACTCATTATTTATCATTTATAAACCCATACCTCTAACTAATCCTAGTTTAAAGTCCTAACAATCCCCTCAACTGAGCTCGTTTATAACCCTGTTCCGCTCCAGGTGCTCCACCACTCTCCTCCTGATAATCTTCTCCATGACTTTGCATGCTATACACGTCAGTGACACTGGTCTGTAGATTAGTGCTTCATTTCTGTCCTATTTCTTAAAGATGGGGACAGCAAGAAAACCCACACCTGCCCTGGATAAGTGAACCCCATCCCTGGCATACATGTCATTTCGGCCATAGAAGTTGTCCCAGTTGTCAATGAATGGTACTGCATTATCCTTACAGGCATCTTGGTTCAGTCCGTAGAGAGCACACTCGACACGTCCTCACTGAGCTAACTACAGGTCACCACTGAGCTAAGTACAGGTCACCACGTACAGGCCCGTTGTTGTTTATAATATATATCAATGACTTTGATGAGGGAATTACTAGTGATATGAGCAAATTCGCTGATGACACGAAGATAAATAGAATAATTGATTCAAACGAAGATGTCACGGAACTTCAGGAGGATTTAGACAAACTCATTTCCTCGTCAGAAAAGTGGTAGATGCACTTCATTGTAGATAAATTCAAGGTTCTGAAGCTCGTGAGTATCCATAACCCTAGTACTTATAAGTTAAATACCGTAGAACTTTGCCATACAGATTGCGATAAGGACTTGGAGGTTATGGTAAGCAGCAACCTTAAACCAAGACAGCAATGCCTAAGCGTAGGTAATAAACTAAACACATTACTGGGATTTATATCTAGAAGTGTAAGCAACAGAAGTCCAACGGTTATTTTACAGCTTTATACATCATTAGTAAGCCTCACCTAGATTACGCAGTTCAGCTCTGGTCTTCATATTACAGAATGGATATAAATTCCTTAGGAAACATTCAGCGTAGAATGACTAAATTAATACATAACATTAGAAATCTTCCGTACGAAGAAAGATTGAAGACTCTTAAACTTCATTCACTTATAAGACGAAGAATGAGGGGACATGATCGAAGTGTTATGTGGAAGATGGGTAATAACAAAGGAGAATTAAATAATGTTTTGAGGATATCCCTCCAAGAGAGAACCCGCAATAATGGATTCAAATTAGACAAGTTTAGATTTCGACAGGAAATACGAAAGTACTGGTTTCGTAATAGGATAGCTGATGAGTGGAACAGTCTGCCTAGTAGGGTTACCGAAGCTAAAACCTTGGTTAGTTCCAAATTTAGGTTGGATAAATACATAAGTGAGAGGGGTTGGATTTGAGTGGGACTTGCACTTGAGTAAATAGAATTATCAAAGTTTATTGCTTGGGTAGCGTTCATTCTGTTAGTGGGTTGAATTTGGAACACTGGAAGGAACACTGCAATGGGCCAACAGGCCCATTGCAGTGTTCCTCCTTTATGTTCCTGGTCCCTTTTAGATGGTATGCAGGGCAGCTGGTGTTGTAGCACTGTTTTTGGAGGACCGATGAGTGGCACATTACTGGGTGAAAGACTTTACAGGAGGGATAACGACACACTCCTTTAAACAGGAGGTCACGACATTTTTTGGGATGCTCAAAGTCGCATGTCCCATTTGTTTTTCCTGATATTCCATGCCCACAGATGCCCCAAATGTAGAATTTGCACAATTTCGCTTTTGGTTGGGTAGAATTTTTGGTAGGATTGTTCTCAGTTTGTGCACTATAATCCTCAGTAACCAAGCCAGGGCCACCATGTTCTGCTTCCAGGGAACTATTTTCCCCAGAAGAAGAAGACTACATAACTACATCTGTAATGTGGGCTATGGTCTTGTACAATGATGGTTGTATATTTCAGGTTTTAGTAGTGACTGTGGTAGAGTCCCTTGCAGAGTCTGAACTGGCATTAAGGCTGGGGTGAGACTGAGTCAGCACTGGGGCTGGGGGCTGATCCTGGGCCAGCACCAGCGCTATGGGCAGTAGTGCTAGGACTGGGGGATGGCTCTGAGTTAACTGAGGTTTCTGTTTCTTGTGTTTTTTTCAGTGGGTGACTATATACCTTCGAGTCATCTGTTATGGTATGAATTGTGGTACTGGCATTCTGCATTGTTTGGTTCACTCTTCCTATCTCTTCCTCCTATGTTTTATATATCTTTGGTAGACTATCCAAGAGTTCATCTTTTTTTCTTGCTTATTTTTATTTATTTCCCCCCTTAGTACCTTTCTGATACTTACCCAAAGTTCTGTATCTTTATTGCACAACGAGAAGCACCTTGCTAGTTCGTGGCCATTTTCTGAGGCAGTGCTTATTCTTGCACAAGAGATATGATGCTTGGAAAAGCACAGGTTGCATGAGATCCTAGATTTTCTTCCAAGGATTTGTTTTACATGTCCCACAGGAATGCTGTACTGACATCCTGCCACATCCTACTTCACTCTGTAAGCCACGAAAAAAATTATTTCCACTTTGCTTATCTCTGTACTGGTGACAGTAATATGTGAGATGTATTTATAGAACCGAGGCTTGTTAACTGTATAAATCTCTCCAGATTCATTTCACTGATCACTCATATACATGTATATTTATATATGATCTTACTGAGTTCCTCACACTGATCTAGATGGGGTTATTGCAGTATGGGGTATATAGTGTTATATGGCCTGTGTAGTTGCCTGGTAGAACTGCCAGACGTATGGCTGTAACACACCACTCAGGGTACATGGCACTACCAGACGTATGGCTGTAACACCACCCCAGGGTACATGGCACTTCCAGACGTATGGCTGTAATACACCACCCCACGGTACATAGCACTGCCAGACGTATGGATGTAACACACCACCCCAGAGTATATGGCACTGCCAGACATGTGGTTGTAACACACCACCCCAGGGTGCATGGCACTACCAGAGGTATGGCTGTAACACACCACCTCAGGGTACATGGCTCTGCCAGACGTATGACTGTAACACACCACCCCAGGGTACATGACACTTTTAGTTTCAAAACACTTCCATTATGTTTAATCACTATCCTTAAGTCGTTCCACTTATAATTTAGCTTCACTAGGTCTTTCCACTAGCTTTCTTATTATTAAGCTGTAAGATAGGATAAGATTTGCTCGGATTTTTAACCTGGAGGGTTCGCCTTTAGCAATATCATTATTCTCTAACATATGGAAATAATGATATTGCTCTACACCTTGCAATATGGAAATTGAAGTGCAGAAGATCCCAAGCAGGTGTGTGTCGACACAGTGCAGGTGGGAAAGGTAAGTGTCAGCCAATTCCTAAAGAAAGTATTTTAAGAATGATAAGCCCATGAGCGTTGTAAAACATTGTAATAAACAGATTATAACTCATATTACCTGTCAATAATCATCACTGGGCCGTTGAATGTCCTCTGTTGATTAAAGGAGAAATAAGCAATTTTCTCGAGTTTATGACATTATTCAAACCCACACCGCCATTTTCCGGGAATTTTCCACTACACATAAATAAATATTCAAACTCGTATATCCGTCACAATTGACCAGTAATTTATTATTTCGTTAATAAATCTAAGGAGCTCCAGAAATTTTTAATTATCAAACGACATTCATGGCATGACTCATTCTATGATATTATAGCTATGCTATGGGAATTTTCCTTTGTTATGGTAATCTGTTCTTAAAAAGTAACTGTTCTGAATGGCACAACTTTTTTTAAATAAAGGTCTTATTCAACAGTTGAAAACAATTGGAAACATATATTTGTCCCATGATTCGGTTGGCAACGCGTTCGCCTCTCACTGAGTGTCTAGTGTCTGGTTCAGTCCCCAGCATGGGTGGACTCATCAGGCATGTTTCCTAATACCTACTTGCTGTCGCTGTTAAGAAAAGATAAGATAAGATTTTGTTCGGATTTTTAACCCCGGAGAGTTAGCCACCCACGATAGCCCAAGAAAGTCAGTGCGTCATCGAGGACTGTAACTTATTTCCATTGGGGTCCTCAGTCTTGTCCCCCAGGATGCGACCCACACCAGTCGACTAACACCCAGGTACCTATTTGCTGCTAGGTGAACAGGACAATAGGTGTAAGGAAACGTGTCGAAATGTTTCCACCCGCCGGGAATCGAACCCGGACCCTCCGTGTGTGAAGTGGGAGCTTTAGCCACCAGACCAGGCAGTAATTACGTACCTGTGTGTTATTCGACTGATGTGGATTGCATCCTGGGGACGAGATTGACCCTAATAGAAATAAGATGGACAGTCCTCGATGACAATGACTGTGGAAAATATTTTAATTTTCCGAAGCTATAGTGCCTAATAGGTGTTTAATGTGTTGACATGGGTTAAAACATGTATTTGAAAATGAAATAGAAGCAACAGGGAAGCTCTGCACCTGTGCTGATGGGCAGGGGAGAGGTCTAGACTGGACATCAGCAGCGGGAGTGTTTTGAATGGGGTTAAGAGGCTGGGAAAGCATGGGACCAGGAAATTGGCATTCACGACGGCCTAAGGATTAATATAGGCCTCACTTCATAATAGGAAGTGTCGTAACTGTTCCTGGTGAAGAGTGAGGGAACGTGATTTACGGGACCACCGTAATAAAGTGGTAAAATTAGTGAATAATGGTAGGACCGGTGGTGACTGGTGCGACGCCATGGAGTGTCCAGGGGAAAATACCAGTGATTTAATCATCACTCATCGGTCTCAGATCTTAATGGAGTGACCTCTCATGTGCATAATAATTATGAGACATTAAATCGTCTTGTGAATTGTAATGTAATCAGTGATAATAACACTAAGTTAAGAAATGCGTGAAGTGAAATAAGTCGCCTTGCTCCGAGTGAACACGTGTAGACCTCGTGGTTCCTGTCCCGAGGATAGTGAAGCTTTTATGGAATCACTACTACTAAACCGAGACAAACCAATGTAAGTAAGTAAGTAAGTAAGTAAGTTTATTCAGGTATACACAAATACAGTTACATAGAATTATCATACATAGCAGCATATGTGTAGAGAACCTGGGATAACCCAAAAAAGTCAGACAGAGTGACTTACTTCCATTGGGGTTCTTTTACCTTATTATTATAATATAAAGGTTATAATATTTTCTTATTATTCTACAATGAAGATAACATCTTATTATCATACTAAAAAGACTATCTACTACACGAGGGTCATTAAGACTATCTACAATACGAGGGTCATTACTAGGAAAAAGGGTTTAAATTTACTCGTATGTTAGCTAAAAAATAGAAAATCATTCCCCTCCCTTTCTGTAGCTACATTCATCAGACACCTTTTGGCACTCTTCTTGAACTGGTTCATGCTATGACTGGCTTTGACATGTGTGGGCAGTCTGTTCCATTCCTTTATTGTTGTACAATAAAAGGTGTTTGAAGCCTGGCCAATGACTGTGGGTACTACAAAGTTGTGTTTCCCCCCCCTAGTACTATGATTGCTTTGGTTCCCAACCTTGACAAAATTGACAGCAAGATATTCTGGCCCACTGTGGAGCAATTTTATAAACATGATTTAGCTTCAGTTGTTTTACTCTGTCTTCAACATTCAGCATATCCAACTGCTGTAATTCATCCTGGCCTACATGTTCTCTTGGTCCCAACCCCAGGATGAATCTTACGATTTTGTTCTGGGTGATTTGCAGTCTTTTTCAGTTTTTTTGTCAAGGCAGAGTACCATGAAGAGCAAGCGTAATCCATATGGCATTGTATAAGGGCTAGACATAGGGTCTGCGAGCCTCAGTAGGTAGACACTGTGCTTGTCTATACAGGAACTTCAGTCTGGCATTCGCTTTCTTTACTACACTGTTCCCTATCAATTCTCCTGACATGCATGGGTCAAAGGGGATTCCCAGATATTTTACTGATGAAACCAAAGTGATGGGCTCCCCATTACACTGGACATTAAAATTATTTGCCCTTCTCAGTTTTTGTTTCGTGCCAAAGAGAATGGCTTCAGCTTTCCCGAGGTGTAATGATAGTTTGTTGTCTACTAACCATTTGCTGCAGGACTCCAGTTCCAGTGTTAAAACATTAGCAATATCTTGTGGGTCTTTACCTGACACTAACAGGGCACTGTCATCTGCATACAGTAGGAGTTTGCACTTGACACTGATAGGCATGTCATTGACATAACATAAGAATAATAAGGGACCCAGAACTCCACATGTTATCGGCAGGGGTTCTGATTCCGTTTTGTTGATTTTGTCTATTTGTCTCCTGTTGCTAAGGTAGGACTTAAACCAGTCTACAGAACCTATACCGATAGCTTGAAGTTTCTTACATAATATATTGTGGTTGACAGTATCGAAGGCCTTTTGCAGGTCTAAGGTTACCATACCTATGAGGTTCCCCTTTGACATTTCAGTTCTCAGGTAATCCATCAGATTAATAAGGGAGGTGTCGGTTGAGGAGGATCTTCTAAAGCCCGATTGATAGCTATGGAGAATGCAGTTGTCATTAAGGTACTTAACTACTTGAGAATACACCGCCTCTCTCAGAATTTTAGATATTATACTGAGTATACTAACAGGCCTATAGTTGCTTACATCAGACCTATTATTTTTCTTGAAGATAGGAGTAACTCTGGCCTCCTTGAACCCCTCCGGTAAGGTATTAGTGGTGATTGATAGATTTATTATGTGAGCAATAGGGATTGACAGTTCAGAAGCACCATCTTTTACGAACTTAGACGGGATGTTATCAGGGCCTGTGCTCTTAGTTGGGTTTAACCTGCTTAGTTCTTTTTGAATGAAGTCATGAGATACACTTACTAGTTGACAACTGTTTGGGGTTACCCCTTTATTGGTATAGTATGTTTGAAACTTATCAGAGTCTGTTAAAGGTATTTGATGCAGCTGGTAGTTTACTTACTAGTGTTGATGCAACAGATGTGTAGTAGGAATTGAAGCAAT